TAGCGGAAATGAATTTTATCTTTTATGGAAATACAAACTCACAACCAAACAGCACCCAACAACGCCCTAATTACGCTCTCCTTCACGCGTTGACATTTTTTCGGTAATTCGATTAACATCTGAAATTATCACAACACAACACGACGCCAAGTTTGAATTCTTTTTCACTTATTTTTTACTACCCGAAACAGCATCACACAAACCTCGTACCTGAGTGTTTTATAGTCTCAATAACTACACTAGCAACAAACTAAAATACTTATATAACATGACAATACCGCGATTTTAATATTATTTTAATGCGATCAACATGACGACGAATTTCTGATTTTTGCCGTTGAAGCGCTCCGGTCGGAATTTGTTGAAATAAACTGAAATGCAGCGAGCCTATAATATAAGTTTGTTAAAATTGTTGAAGTAAAGATAACAAAGACTATTTTAACATTGGTATCTCACCAGAACACAAAGAATCAGCGGAAAGAACAGTTTAAAGTTCAAATAATCATAAAAGTAAAATAATTCAATACCCACCTAGTCGTAATTTTATCACACGCAATCTTTGTTTTAGATTGTTTGGTTTGAAGTATTTGTTTACTACGAATGCTTAATTAAAAGTAAATTAAGGTTAAAACATGAATAAAGTAAATAAACAGAAGATTGGTAATTAAAAGTCTAGGTAACGAAGTTAGATAATTTAATTAAAGGAAAATAGGGTTTATTATTGTACTATTGTACTAAAGTAGAGATATATAGCGAGACCAGTGCGGGATTGTGTGCCTGCTCTAAATACAGTGGACGAGTGAAGCAATGTTACATTAGTTTGCATACAGGGGAAAAGAAAATTACAAGGGTAAGGTTTTTTAGGTTTATTTTTAAGGAGAAGACGATCCAATGCAGATGTAACTGGAATATCTTTGAATAACAAGACTAAGGAAGGAGCATAATGCTATCCATGTATTCATGCATGGTGGGCGGAAAAAGGACTCTAGGGTGGGGATCCTTGATAGTTCTGTTTCATGGTACAAAGAATACAAGGTATGTAATTGCGCAGGTTGGTCGCTACGTCACAGGTGATAACAGGCGCTATTGGTCAGCATGCTCCGCGCGCCAGTTCAAATCGTCAAGATATTGTTATAAACCTGTTTTTTTGTTTATATACCGTCATTGAATTATCGCTAAGCAAGTTACTGTGGAGCAGTGCGTAAGGAGTCGGGCTAGGAAGCGAGAGACCCGAGTTCGAATCTCGGGCGGGACATAACTTTTTATTTATTTTTTTAAATACTGTTGTATTCTATAGTTTATTTTTGTAGTATAAAAAAGAACTATTTATTCTGTTATTTTTTAATCTCCGTTATTAATATAAATTGATTGTTAGTACAATACCTCATTTAATATAAAATAATATTCTACTTTTTGAAATGTATCGGGCCCTAATTGTACCTAAAAGTAATATATTTTTAGTGATATACCATATTGTAAACTATTTAATATTTTAGTCACTTAAAAAGTTAATTTGCATTGAATAATTGCCTACCATTAAAGGAAATTTGAGCTATATAATCCTTGATGGGCATATTCTGGGTATGCAAATACTTCCTTTAAATTTTGGGTGTCGTTCAACCGATTTATTCTCAAAACCAGAAACTTCTACATATAAAAAGAAGCAGAGGTCACTAATTATAATAAACTTCACCCTTGGTATTACTTCCACTAATTATAATAAACTTCACCCTTAGAATTACTTCTATCACAATTACAATACGTTCATCTGCATTGGCATTTTCTACTTTTCGATGGGAAACAATAAACTTCCCAATATTTTTTAAATGATGTAACAATTCCTCTTGTGGTTACTTTTCCATAGATATCCTCAACTCTGTCCTCATGTGAATTCAGAGGCAATGAAAATGAAAATTATTTACCATAAACATCGCAAACTAAAAACCTAATAAACAATTTTATACCGAATATAGAAATAAATTCAGTATTCTTACCTATCGTCCAAATCCATGTTAATAGATAATTATTTTTTTAAATATATTTTTGGAACTGCTGGTTTTAGTAATTATTAAATTAAACGAACTAAAAAGTCTTAAAAATAAACAATTCTTAACCATAACCCCAAAAAATGCAGATCTCCTGTCAACTTTCTTTATTTTTTATTTATTCATTATTTTCCTAGTGACGTCACAGGTGGTATGCGCGAACTGAACGAAATTGGCGCTGCTATCGATCATACCTTGTATTCTTTGTACCATGGTTCTGTTTGACGATTCATTTGACACATTTGAATTTGATTTGAAAGTTTGTGGATTTGTCAGTCTTTACGCAGCTTATTTTACGTTATTTATTATTTATTCTACTACTGATAGTTGTATAAAGGTAGTAAATCTAGATGGAAATTGTGGCAGAACCTAAATTAACAGTGATACTATCGCGATTTATCGAAAAATACTCTAAAATAGTTGGTTGTGTGCCGTGCGGTAGATCTCGGCAAAAATCGAGTGAAATAATGGAACAACTTTTCGCTAGTAAGTGACTATATAATATAAATACGTGTAGTAAACCGATCATTTATAAAATTCACTTAAAATAACTAATTATATATTTTTTCTTGCATTTTTCTTTTATTTACTACTTGTCACAGATTAGATGTCAAAGAATTTAGATACGTCAATTTCAGACTTACCTGCTTCAGTAGCGTATCGGATGTTTGTTTTAATAAATAATTATTAGTAGTAAACGGTTCTGTTTCACGTATAAATTTATAAAGAAAAAGAACATTTAATACACGTATTGGGTCTACGTGTAATCCTAGTATATCATAAATTGCTAATATACGTTTACCATCTTGTATAATATTGGTATATACGATTATAAAATGAATATAGGTACCTTAAATATATACGTTGAAGTCGCGGACATATTGCAGTTTATTATACGTTTCACATTCTTTGTCGTTTACCTAGATAAGACGGACGGTATTAGATCAGTTTAAACGTATAATATACCATAGTGTGTTGCTTGGGTTGTATCGATATATTCTTAAAGGAGAATTCTTATCCTTCTTCTCTTTTTGAGAATCGATTAAAAATATAACACTGATGAAGGCTGTATTGTTGGCCGAAACGTTTGTCTATAGACTAAATAAAGATTTAAATAAAAATATATAATTCAGCGTGTTCGGAACCTAATGTTCTAAGAAAATCAATTTAAGAATAATAGCTGTTTATATATTTATAATTAATTTATTTTTGTTTTCTAAAATATTTTGACTAAAAGAAAATACGTAATAGTGAGCAACGCTGTGCCGGTGAAGCTTAATCACGTGACTAAAAGTTGATTTGATATGAACTGTAAATAATTAGTACGAATTAAGTTGTTGTTACAAATTTGTTAAGAAAAAGCAACAAGTTTTTTTAACGATTTTAGCACTATACTAGTAAACAAGTATTCGTTAATAAAAAAAACATAAATAACACTAACTTTTTAGTTAATATATCCCCATCCATAAAATACAAACAGAATCATTAATTCTGAATCCAGTAGGATGTTACAAAGAAATTTTTTTTTTAGTTTCGCAATACCTTTTTTTAGAATGTTTTTTCTTTAATTGGAATATTAAAGAATTACAGATAAATAAGGACTGTAATTAATTAAACGCCATGACAAACACCCAATATCATTTGTTTCATTAATCAGACATGAAAGCGGTAAAACATAATTCCGTAATGTATGAGACGCAACTTTTAATAAATTAGTTTTTTGTTGAATTACTGCAACTGTCAAGTGTAATAAAATTAATATGTGGCAGTTTTTAGAAGACTTTAGTTTAGTCTCTAGTTTTATATATTTTATTAAGTATAATAGTTATTTACAGTACAAGTGGGTTTATGAACATGATTACAACAACGAGTGTGAACGATTAGAACGACACGAGTTATTGTTTGTTTGAATTGAATTTGTTGTTGAAGTTGAAATTGCTGTAAGTTGGACTAATAGTAATAATAACTATAATAGTAATAATAGTTAATAATAAATTAGGGAAAATATGTACCTAATTTATTAATTTTATTTTTATTTTAATTTTATTAATTCAGATAAAATTGCGTTTATCTCATCAAGGATACCGAATTCGACAAAATATCAAGAAATAACTTTTAATTGAAATTAAAGCGTCTACACAATTTTGATATTCAAAGAAAAAAGTCAGTGGCGCACATGTCTTTTTTTGGAAAGCTTTAAAATATGTCGCATTTATAGTAACTTTTACCCACAAAATTTTATTTGGAACGGTAAAATTATAACAAATCGAAAAAATTATAAGTCTTTAACACCCTGTAGCTACGAAAGGAAACAGAACAGGACCTATGTTAATATGAAAAATATATCTTAATTTACCTGAGGAATCTCCCCAGGAGAGATGGCACATGCTTTTTGAAACACCCTGTATAAACCATTAAACATATTGAAATACTTTAAATGCAGAAAATGTTCATTTTTAACTCTCAAACTAATAAAAAATAATAAGTTTTAACTATTTAAAAAAACAAAGAAAATTATTATATAATTTAGAAAGTTTAGCGTAGAATTTTGAACACCCTGTAAGATTTATGATCACTATAGTTATAGCACAGTAATACCATATAAAGTAAATACCTAAAATAGTTTTGATTTCAGAACAGTTCTTGTATTTCTACATATATTGTGTCATAACATAATAAATTATGATACACATCTTATAACTTTTTTCAATTTAATATATTTATTCCTTCCCAATTCTGACATTCTATTTAATACTGAAACTAAATAGAAAATAGGTATTTTTACATATTTACTAAAGTATTTACTCAAAAAAGAATTATTCATTCATAACATTCAGATATTAAAAATAAAATTATTTGTAAATATGAAATGAAAAATAACAACATACTTATAAAAGATTTTTAATTGATCCCGATAAATGTTATAGATATATTACAAATTAAAATAAATCTTACCCTCGATCGTCTTCTTTCTGTGCCTCTTTGATCACCGTTGCCGCCGCAGTCGCACGACGAACTGTGACGAAATCAACCGACTGGCAATGCGACGATTCGAGCTACGACCGAAGTGGACGTCACCAAGCGGATGCAGTTTTCACGAGGCGATCCATACAGGTCTTGGGTTATATGGCAATCGCTCGGTCGTTTTCGTCACTCTTCGTTTCGGGACGAGCGCTGAAGGTAAAACGCGTGGGGGTAGGTTTGGTCAGGGTTGGTACGACGAGAAATAATTGCACGGTTTAATGAAAAAGAGTGGAGAGTACTGGAATTTACTCTTCTTTTTTACTGGCCTACTGAAATTACTGAGGTAATAACAAATTTCTGGTGGTGTTTGTTATACTAAGTTTATCCAAGATTCATATTTGTGTTGAACACAGTTTAAGAAACAGATATGTTTAAGGATGTATTCCGTTGCTTACCTTGGTTATGGCTTTATGTTCCGTTTCTATAGGCTTCCTGAAAGTTTTCTTATTACGGAACACGATTCCTGAAGAATTCGGTTATAACTGTCACCAAGCTAACCAGAGCGAGAAGGCTGGTTTTTCTGGGTTTGTTTGTCAATTAATATCATTTATGTGACAGAAATCAAGCAAATATTAGAAGTTCCAGTAAAATTCTTATTTAATTTCTAAAATTTGTAATAATATTTTGTATTTGCATCCAAAAGCAATGGAAGTAGGCAGTAAAGGTAAATAAATTTCATTAACTATTGTTTCTTAAAGTCAGGAATATTTAAAGAAAACATGAAAAACAAGACAATAAGTAATCGTGAATGTTTTTTAAGCTATAAAAATATAAATATTGATTAGATTTGTTTATTTATTAATGATCTGTTTTAATATTGGACCTGCAAATCTTCACTTGAGCTGTCTAACGAGTTTAACAGTTTATTAATAAAGTACTTTTTATTATTAAACTCCATTGAAAAGAAGAAGCAAATGTAAAAGCAGAAAATAGGCACATTAAAAATGCATAAAAGATACATTTTATAATAGACGTATTGAAATTTAGAAAACGTCAACATTTGACGTTTCCAATATTTTACCCAACCGTTCCGTATCAAACCGATACTTTTCAAGAACCGCTCTTTACCGTAGTTTACCAGTCTGGTTCGCCTGGTTTTGCAACGGAATACAGCGTAAGAGCGCTTGCACACATACCGGCAAAATCGGTGCCGGAGCCGGCGACGACTTTGCAAACGTTCCGACAGTTGTATTTAATTTTATTGTATCGGAGTATATGTGAAGGAACTAATTTATTTATATTGCAATCGATTTGAGCAGCGGCACCGGCACCGATTATCCCGGTGTGTGTGAAAGCGCTCTAAGTCTGTCTAACGGGTGGATCTCTGACAGTGACAATTGTGTCTATCATTTTATTTCACCGGAAATTGTATTTTCTGTCATTTTTTGGATGTCGTCTGTCAAAATCTTTGACGACTCGTTGGAGAGACTTGGAAGACATTTCAGACACACTATATAAATATACAAGCTATACTGCTTTTTTAAATTTATTGCATTTACATGCCTCCGTTCATCGGATATACGATTTGCTTGTGATTGGTGTCATTTCCATATCGATTTCACTGTTTTATAGTCTAGAAAATGAATAACTTTGAATTTTGACCGTTATTTTTTACCAACATGGCAAATATAAAATCCCTCTATCAGAAAAGTTACTGATATCCTTTAAATTGAGTGCCTGAACGAATCAGATAGGTAACCCTTTTTACTTTCGTGAAATAGAAAAGAAAAATGATAAAACAAGTGACAGTTCTTACTCTTCTTGCAAAAATCTACACGAAATGTCATAATTGTCAAAACTAAAATGTCATCAGCTTTTGACATTTCTAATTATCAGACCAATGCCGTCTCTAATAGAACAGCCTCGGAGCCAGATTTATGACGTCACGCTAGTTAGATACTACGGATTAATAAATATGTTGTAGAATACACGGAAAACATAATCGTTCCTCGTATTTTTGGTTATACTAAAACGTTTTTTTAAAACAAAAAAAAAATAATGAAAACCCAAATGAAAACAGCGTTTATATAATAATAATCAGCGTTTTTCCCGAACCTAAATTCCAAGAAAATCAAAAATTTTAGAATCATTTTACATATATAATGACAGCCATCTTTATTTCATAGCCATCGCTGACGCTGTTTTTTCTATGATATTGTATTATTTGCAAATATAATTTTTCGAATATTGATACTTGCAAAATATACATATAAATTTTGTGAATGCAAATAATAATACATCACTATTAGTAGATATTGAATGTTTTTTGTTAAATTAGATCGATTTTCAAACCACAAAATTTAAAATATATTTTACATTTTACCCATTATGTTATGTACCTATTCATTATTTGTATATTGTAAAACATTTGCTGCATTTGTATGGTTCGTAGTTTATTTATTTATTACTAAAATAAATAGGTTGTGATATTTCATGTAAACTATGTATATCATTTTTAAAATACAAACCAAAAATACGAGGAATAATTATGTCTTCCATTTATTCTAGAATATATTTATTAATATGTAGTATCTAACTAGCGTGACGTCATAAATCTTGCTCCGAGGCTGTTCTATTAGAGACGGCATTGCGTCAGCATGGCTGCAAGTTGCTAACCTAATAAAATTAACACTAGAAAAGCCCGCGGGAACTGTCAAATTCAAAGTTATTCGTTTCACAGACTATACTTATAGTCTAACAGCTAGCAACATTTTTGAGACAGAATTTTAAGGAAGCTGGTTCTTTAATACATCTTTAGCTATGCTCTCCTGAACAGAGTGCGGATCGTCTGGCTGCCGGTAGAAGTTCCGTGCACTACTGCGCATCTCGAATTCGCCCTGTATTTCAGGAACTAACGAAGGAGGCTAGGACCAACCTTTATGTAACATATTTAGTTGAAGTGGATGTAGAATGTAAAATGAGTAAAAGGGCGGGTTAATCACTGCAACCTTAGATTTTAAGATCTAAGGTGCCCCCCTTCCTTGAGTCATCACATAGTCTAAAACCCATCATACCCCTGTTGTAGAGGGGTATAATGGGTTTTATGGGGGTATAAGGGGTATGAGGGGTATTTCCCACCTCCTCTCCTGTAGTTCTTCCTCCGAGGGTACACACCCTTCTGCGGTTGGAGTTTGGCCCTCCGTGCCGCCCTTCGCAGTCGAGGAGTTTGCCTCCGGCTGAGGAACCCGTGAGGTGGAGGATGGAGGATCTGTCTCCATTTTCTCCACCTTAGACCTGATACCGGTGTTGTCCCGTATCTATAATAGAGAATATGTCCCTCTTTCTCTTTTGCCTCCTTGGATTTGAGGTCAATTCCTACTCTGAGGACCTGACCATGACCCTCCTCACACCATGACTCACTCCTCCACATTTTGTAGATCGTTATGTTGCGATCCGATCACCACTACTTCGTCTAGTATAGCCTCTTCTAGATACGTTTGCTGGTCGTTGTAGTAAGTAAATAAATCTAGATTGAGAAAAAAACAATTAACAAAATGTACCGCATTTTAGTACAAATTTAGTACAAAAAACTGAAATGACCCTATCGCAGGATTTTATCAATGGATCCCCTCTGGCGCATCCCGATGCAAGAACAGTTGAGGTCCGTAGAGGGTAGTGGGGGGAGAACATTAGTTGGTTAAAAACGGGTGGTGGGGGAAAACCAGAGAAGTGGGGGCAGTGTGGCGTCCAGGGGGTACTTTACAAAAAGGCACAGCGAGAAAATAAAAAAAACCGTTTTTAAACTCGGAAAATGTCTGGAAAAAATCTGTTTTTGCGCTCTGGAAATAGGGACAAAATTGGCCTGGTAACTTTTTTGTGTGTTTTACCCTAAAGTTTTTAGTGAAAGGCTTATTCACACATAGTCAGTCGCGTCACAGTTCCGTTCCGTCAAACAGTTTCTGTTACGATGAAAAATATACCGCTGATTCTAATTTGATCAGCAGCGAAACATTGATGCGTCGCATTCTTTCAAATATTGTAATACGTTTTTATTTAAATAACTGAGATCTAGGTCTATAATAAATTAAAATTCCCAATAAACCGATACAAATAATTTAAATTCAATTTCCAAAAAAAAACGTCCAAAGCATCAATCAGCAATGATACGACGAATAATAGTGCTGTATGCATGTGAAACGTGGACGTTCAATACAACAGAAAGTTCGAGGCTAGAGAATTGGGAAAGAAAAATACTGAGGAAGATTTTTGGAGGAAAGAAGATAGACAACATATGGACTAGAAGAACAAATGAAGAATTAAAGCAACTACATCGGACACCGAGTATAACGGGAATAGCAAGAGCACAAGCGTGTGTGGCTAGGACACATTAAAGGAATGGCTGGCAAATTACTAGTATGATAATAAAACGTGAAACAGGTGGAAAGAGAAGGAGGGGTTGATCGAGCACCAGATTGAAAAAGGATGTTGTAGAGGACTTGAGAAAGATAGGAGTGAATGTGTGGAGAATAAAGGTTGAAAAAAGTTTCCGGAATACAATTCGGACCACCCTGTATATAATCGTAAGTTGAATGCATCTTTCTAAAGCGTAGATTTCTGTCTGTCCTGTCCCTGTTTCTGCTTCGGTTTTGGAAGCATCTCCATCTTTGTCAGATAATACCTACTTTATCTGTAAAATTACTGATTGTGCAAATATTTAGAGAAATCCAGTACAACTAACTCAGTTGGAGGACAATTATTCTCTAATAAGTATGAATAGCTGTTACAGATATTGACTGACTTGACTGAGACGTATCTATCATGTGTGAATATACCTTAAATATTAATTCTGTTCTTTTGCAATTTTAGTTATTGTTCAGTTGGTGAAAATTGTCACTGTGGGATATGAAGTGTATAATTGAAGCGAATTGGAAATAACGTCATAGGAAATATTTGGGTCCAGTTGCGTAGAATAAAAAAATGATTTTTGAGATGAAAATGCATATTTTAATAATAATTTTTTTTCTAATAATCATCAGTGTTAAATAATCTTTGTAATAACTAAAAAAAAGCAAGTAATAATAATCTTTGTGTAACAAAAAAAAACTTCAATTAAATGAAATAATATATATTTAATATGATTCTTATATTTATTTAATTCTTACTTTTTCTGTATGTTATTAAATGCTTCTAAAATTAAAATATTAAAATAAAAAAAGGAAATGTGAATCGTGTACCAAGAAGTTATGATAATATAAAGTCTAAATATTTACTTGTACTATTTCAGTACTACTGCATAGAAAATTATAGCAAAAAAATCTCTATAGTTGAATGAAATACTATAACCATGGCGAGTCTTACAGAGCGAGTCTTAAATGCGTTAATAAATGCTTCTAAAATTAAAATATTAAAATAAAAAAAGGAAATGTGAATCGTGTACCAAGAAGTTATGATAATATAAAGTCTAAATATTTACCTGTACTATTTCAGTACTACTAAATAGAAAATTATAGCAAACAAATCTCTATAGTTGAATGAAATACTATAACCATGGCGAGTCTTACAGAGCGAGTCTTAAATAGTCTTTCGCCGTTTATGTCTGGTTATATGTTTTGGTAACTTTCTTTTTATGTTTTTTTTTCTTAATAAAACATGGATATGATGGCGCATTATATTAAATTAACGAACCGTCATTTTTTATATATTATATGTTCCTAAGGTCTTACTTATTTATTTACTGTTCCTGGCGTCCAAATAAAGAAAAACCTAAAAATATCCAAGATAATCGTATATTTTACCCAAGATATTCCAAGCACGCGTCTCAGAATAGCTGTATCATACTGAAATGGCGAAAAAAGTTGGCAAAAGTGCCGTGAAAACCTTTTTCGTTGGTAATAGAAATATCCTCAAACATTTTCTATTGATATTAACCTATATAAAGTTGTTTTTATCTATAAGAAAAATCTCAAAATAGATATACACTTTTCTATACTCTCTGGAAATAGCAGACACTTATATTTTATTTGATAAAATACTGTTATTCCAATCTTTAACTATTTATATATACACGTACAAAATTCATCACATAACTTTAATACGCTGATGCAAGTTGTCAAATACCTACCTAATTTTTGAACTAATTTCAACGACAAGAAGTTTTCATTGAACAAAAAGAATGTTTTGTTGAAAATAAAACTAGTATAATTTTTAACATGTCTTTTATATTGATACATACGTACATCCTTAAACAATTATAATGTATAAAATAAATATATAATACTAATGTACATTAATTACAAGTCGTTTTCTTATTAGCCATCATTAATATTTGAAAGTTTTATCTATAAAACAGTTCAAATAAAAATATAATTTTATTTATTACAACCACAACATCCTTGATAAAATCTAAGGTTTATGGCTAAATATGGTAGTTTTTTGTTTTGTACAACAACTTTAAGGTTTTTAATCACATTTTAAACAAAAGAAAATAGGAATATAACCATATTATAATTTAAACAAATGCAAATTTTCATTCGTTAATTCAGCTTATTCATTAGACGGCCTGGGGTGGAACTTTGTAACTAAATAGCGATCGGTAGCGATGAAGAATACTGACCTTGGCCGTAGAAACTAACTGGCAAGCGACAGTATTCTTCGTTTTTACCGATAGCTATTTAGTTACAGAGTACCACCCCTGTCGAGTTACGACCGTTTATACGGAACTCTGCGTACCTAAAAATTTGAAATATTGAGATTAATAGTGAAAATATATATAGAGTGTTATATATTTTCGAGAAGCCCAGGCCAAGCTGAATAAGAAAATTTAAAAATATACAGGGGGTTCTATTTAAAAAAAAACATAAGTATAGTTAATATCTCAAAAAATATTTTTTTCGAAAAAAGTCTGACTACGCCACTGCATTCTACCCAGAAAAGCGCCTTTAGAATGTATAATTCATTTTTCCGTGGTTGCTGAAATAAACAAACTATCGAACATCTTCAAAACGTACAAAATTTGAGAATCCTCCTGTAGCTTCGAAACCGATCAAGATAGCCATTTGTAATTTTTTCAAAAAAAGAACCCGAGGCTGCAGTATCAAAATTTGAATATTTCTCACGGTTTCCTAGGTATCCTATAGAAACAACCAAAATGGTCCACCCTGTACAGGGTGTCCCATTTTAGTTGAAATCATACGGTATCTCCGTTATTAGTGAAGATAGAACGGTGCGGTTTTCACAAATCTGTCCCATTTTTTTGTCAAACGGAAGATGCCGTAAACAAAATTTTCATAGCCCTCTTCGTTTCTGAGCTGCAGGGTCTTTTCGAAGTCTTTATGATCCTCCCTGGAAATAGTGGAAATATTGACTAGTATTAAAATATCCAGTGGCGGTGTTATTATAATATATTTTATAATAATTAGTACATGCTTCTCGCAAATATTACTATTATTTCTCTAATTTCTCTAAAATTGTCCATGTATATTCTTTTTGTAATTTTAAAGACTTAAATTTTTTTTTTGTATTTGTATTGTGTATTTTTTGTTGTTTGTATTTTTTTTGTGATTTTGTTGTTTGTGAGTGCTTTGTCGATGAAGCTGTTTTGGCTATTTGTACAATAAAGCGTTGTTTGTTTTGTTTGTTTTGTTATTTAGCAAATTGCTAAACAAACTGTATATACAATTTAACATATTTTGATAAAAAACCGCGCGTCTCTGGATATTTTATGAACGAAATCGGCCATGTTTTTTAAAAACTGCGTTTTCCTTACCGTTGCCTTATTGTTTCAGATCCGTTTGTCAGACTTATACAAGAACAGGCTAGGTAAATGACCTTAAGTCGACTGGCTGTCTAATAAATAGGCTGTAAATTGTTTAATTGGGTTTGTTCCAACACAGAAATTTGTACCGTTGTACTAATCAAACTCAAAACCTAATTTTTAATTATAAGTTTTAATAACAAATTTTGTATTTTATTAGATATATTTACTGATTATTTAGTACGAAAAAAAAAGCGTAACCGTACCAAGAACGGTTTTTCTCTGCTATGTTGGAACAAACCATTTGTCTAAATATATTTGAATTTTTATGGTTTCTGCTCTAATGGTTGATCTCTTTTCTTATAAATTCTTGAGCAAAATTAACAAAAATAATCTCATTTTAATCTTTAATACTATACAAATTTAAATCTGTTATTTCTATTGAATGCCTGTTATACTGGTTATCCAAGGTTTGAAGAACGTTGTCCTCATGTATACGCCTGGTAGATACGGTGCAGCACATTTGATACCGTGCGATACTGTGCCGGCCAGTTCATATCTCGTGTCCGGTCGTTGTAATACCAGAGGTCCACCAGAATCACCCTGTAAATAAAAAAGAAAAATCAAATAAAAGTACTTACTAAAATTGTTATAGTTAAAAAGTTAAAAATTTTGGTTTCGGTCAACTATCCAGTCACAAATTTGTTTATAGTCTAATTTACCTTAAAATGAACTTCTTAGATTATCTGAATAAAGTCTGAAACATGTTTCTTATAAAAAATATTCTAAAAAACGTTTTTATTTTCATGGTTGCCAAATCAGCTAGATGTATAAAAAGTTCTTTGCCTCGGGTATAGATACCGCCACGTTTTGAAAACAAAACGAAATTGAACGAGACAACAAGGAACGCCAAAAAAAATCCATACGCCTTTCTCCGCAATTTTACGAGTAGTTTTTAGGCGCTTTTAAGAAACAAAAGTAGGTCGAGACAATCCGAAATAGGGTAAGACAACCGGAGTTAGGCCATGAAACGCTATCAATATAAAATAATGTGGCAAATAACCCTTTATATTTTTGATAATAAAACTAAATAATAATTTTACTGTTAGCCAAACATGTTGTTATAGTTGTGTTAAACTCTATAATCTCTTTGAGTGTATATAAAACGTTATTATTGAAGCTACAAAGTTCAAAACACAAGGTTAATTTAGTCTACAAAAGTTTACATATCAACTAAGTAAAGCCTCAAAAAGGTTTATTTTGTTCCGCGTTTTGATACGGGTCTGACAGCTTTCAGCAGTTCAACCAATTATAATAATTGGCAAAATTTCACTCTATGCCCAAGGAAACTACTGATTTATGTAAAACATGAAGATTAAATTTTCTCCTAAATTGTTGTTAAATATCACGATAATACTGTATGATCGAAAAATATTAGTCTGAAATATACCTAATTATTAATTGGAGAAAAGGGGGGGAAGACTACCTTACCAAAAACCTAAATCCTCTGATGGCGAACTAGGTCAAAGATCCCTTTAGCGTAGCTAAATAGAAGACTAAACTCCACTAGAGTCCACAAATCCACAAAATTTCAAATCAAATTCAAATGTGTCAAATGAATCGTCAAACAGAACTGTCAAGGATCCCCACCCTAGAGTCCTTTTTCCGTCCACCAAGTCATAATGGTACTTACCTCGCATGAGTCTTTCTCTCCTGTCGTGTACCCGGCACAAAGGAACGACTCTTGTATTACTTTTGAATGACCAGCAGTCCTGTACATGTCTTGACATATATGATTCTCCATTATAGGTACCTAAAACATATTTTGCCTTAAAAAATAGCCCAAAAATTTATTTCCAATACATTTTTTATCAGGTTAAGAAAAATATTTCAATCGTTGAATGAAAGACTATGGAAAATAAATTCAGAAAACGTCATAAAAACTGCAAACATTCAAATCGTATTCAAATGTATCAAGTGAAACCTTAAACAACTCACAAAAATGTCTACGTCTTATGTCTTCTATAGTTATTAATGATACAAGTTCGATACGAACATCAAGTTTCATTAAAAAGTTCGTATCGAACGTGTATCATTCAAAATTTAATCTACGACGCGACACGAGGGGAGATTTGATTTAATTTAAAATATCAGAGATATCCTCATAAAAATTAAAATTCAAAATTATCAGGTGCCCATATTAGTCGACGCCGTAGTAACCGTGCTTGTTGATTGTTTCCATTTTGACTTTGACAACTCAATTATTGATGTTCAATTTTGTGTTAAACGTTCAGTTTTAGTAAAAAGCAAAAAATAATATTAATATGGGTGATTCTGATTCTGAAAATGTCCCTTCGGATATTGAAGGCATTGCGCAAAACGTTGTCGATTTCCTAATTCCCGAAAAATCAAGACAAACGTACGAGCAAGCCTATGTAAAACTTGAAGATTGGTGTAAAAGGAAAGGAATCAAGAATAGTAGTAAGGAAAAGGTTCTCCTGGCATATTTTGAACATCTTTCAAAACATAGGAAGGCTTCATCACTTTGGGTATATTATTCCATGCTACGTTCAGTTATATCAGTGAAAAAAAATACAGATATTAGTAAGTACGTCTATTTAATTGCATTTCTAAAAAGAAAATCGGAAGGATTTCGGTCAAAAAAATCGGGAATTTTAAGAAAAGAAGACATAACTCGTTTTTTGTTGGAAGCTGATGATAAAACTTATTTCCTGACAAAAGTTTCATTGATAGTGGGATTTGCGGGAGCCTGCCGGCGTATCGAGTTGACAAATCTGCAGCTGCAAAATGTTAAAGATGAAGGACAATGCATTCATGTTATTATTCCATTTACGAAAACAAAGATATCACGAGATTTTTTTATAACGAAAGGGAATGTTGAAGGAATAAACATGGTGGAAATAGTTCGAAGATATATAGCTATGCGGCCAAGCAACACAAAGCATACTCGATTTTTTGTGGGGTACCGAAATGGAAAATGTATTAAGCAACCCGTTGGCATTAATACTTTAGGGAAAATGCCGTATAAAATAGCATTGTTCCTAAGTCTTCCAAATCCACAACAATACACTGGACATTGTTTCCGTAGATCGTCTGCGTGGTTGCTTGCAGATTCAGGAGTGGATTTATTAACTGTTAAAAGACATGGTGGTTGGCGCTCTAACACAGTGGCAGAGAGCTATATAGAAAATTCCAAAGAAAATAAGAAAAAAGTGTCATGTAATATTTTGGGTAACATTTCTGGCAATGATGGGTCTTCAACAAGTTCAAGCACTCAGGAAATAAATTTACTATCTAAAAATTCAACTCACCTGTCATCGTCTGGAATTAATTTAACCCATTGTACTGATATTATAAGTAATGTTTACAATAAATAAACGTATTTAGGTACCTTTTTTTGCTTGTTTCTTATTTTAAAATTTGCGTGTTATTATGAATTCATAATAGCACCATAGATAAACGAAACAAGTTTAGATTGGAAAGTGCCCATAAGGACAATGTAAACTCTATTTGGCGCTATTCTTGCAACGGTCGCGACCCAAAGCTTTTGAAAATTTCGGAGCGGTTCGGCTTTTTCCGGAATTATATCGCCAAATATTGTTTATTCAAATTTATGATTATTTTCTTTTAATTTTATAAATAAAATACAGTGCGTTGCATACAAGAAACTTTATTTTATATAAGGACATATATGAAATACCTTATATAATATATGAAACATTGGAAACCGACGTTATGCCACGATGCACGATGGTTTTTGCAGTTCACAGCACAGCTTTTTAAGTTTTTAATGCCACTTTTTCACAATTATCACGGGTTGGAGTAAATAAAACTTAAATTAAACTTACAAGATAGCAATAATTACTTTGAAAATGAAAGATCGATGAAAAAATTAAAGATTTTATAATTTTTGAAGATTCTGACTTTGACGAGAGAAAATTATTTCTGTTTGTCTTTGCGGTTGTTCTTAGCAACCGTTATAGCAGCGCCAGATCGCGTACAACGGTCGCGACCCAATATAATTTCGGGACCCAAAATTTTGACGGGCTTTCCAATCTAAACTTGTTTCATTTTTCTATGAATAGCACTAGTGCTATTATGAAAGCCATAATGACGTCCAAATAACAATGTTAAATGTGTCATAATGACATTGTCGTAGATTAAATATATAATTAAACCGTTGATTGAAGGAATAAGAAGATCCGCAACCTTATGGGCGATTTCATTGAACAAAACCTGTCCGAGATGTAGCTGGCGTTACCGTCAGCCTGTCTGAGATTTAGTTTAACTAAATGATCTAGTTCAACTGTTCAGGGTTATGTTATTAATTGTAAATATTCCTTTATTATGAACTCTATTTAGTTAATGGAACCTGTTAAAGAATGATAATAATAATAATAGCTCCCGTATATAGCGTTTAACGCCTTGGGAGTAGCAAGGTACAGCTTGCTATACTAGAGCCGTTCGGTATACAAGGAAGGTAATGTGGCTAGCACTACGCTTCAACCGCCTATTATTACATCAGGATTGTGAATCCCAAGTACTCATTTAAGGCTGAGTCGACCTAGGTACCCAAACTATTTTTATTTTAATAAAAATAGTCGGCTGATGAAATGCCGGGTGTGGGAATCGAACCCACACCTTGAGATTGGTAGACGAGAGCCTGTACCTCTACGCCACCGGGCACCTTGTTGAAGAATGATGTTTCTGATATATTATAGAAGAGTAACACATTCTAATAAGTTAATAATTATAATATAATAAAGAATATCTTAGTACCTGTACTTCTTGCAAGACTGATGGTACAGCTCCACCATATCTTAATCTGCCCCAACCTGTTACAGTGGCCATCCTTCCAGTAAAATCTTCATTATCCCTTGGTAGGCATATAGGAACTTTAAAAACATCAATTTAATTAGTATATTTTCAGACTCTTTTTGATCACTGTAGGAATAGATTAAACAATAGGTTTGTACCAACACAGAACTTTGTACTACTCTAGAACAGTAATTGGAACAAGGTGGCATTTGCTGTCCTCCATTCGCGAACTTCGAGTTCCGGGCTTTACGCCCTGGGGCTACTCGAGAACGGTTCTGAAAGGAGCTGTGCGCGATAGCCTCGTGCCGCCATATGGCGCGGAACAGTTCTGGAACTTTATGACTCAATTGAATGGAGTGAAAGTATCGCGTTCTTGAACAGTTCAGAGCTGCTCAACTGCGTGAAAGGAGGACAGCAATTGCAAACTACATACACATGGTTACAATATGATGCCACAGATTAGGTATACTATATGTATACAGATAAAAATCTTATCCCTAATTCGTGGTACGAAAATTGTTTTTTATGACGATGTGCAAACGAGTAAAATTTCCTGTGCGCAAAAATAAACTCGCGTAAAATAACAATAAACAACGTAATAGAGAGATATCGCTAAACCGAATAGCGTGCATGGACGTTAATAAGGCCAGGTGTTATTTCCTTTACGTGAGGTGGTATTAACTCTCTTCATTTATAGTTAAACTTAACCTAACTTTGAATTTAAAACTTTGAAATTGTTTTGTTTACTAGGTATTTTAAAACTAAAGGACCAAAGTGCTTATTTCCAGTGCTTTATTGTTCAACGTCTGCCAGTGGGCTTAGGGCAACAAGCAGCAAATTCTCTTAGAAGGGCTAAGTCGTCATCTGTTAATAAGTAATAATCACCGTTAATCTAAACGATTCTCTCGTTGATGGAACGCATTTTCTCTATCGCGTATAAGCGTAACCGTGCCAAGAACGGTTTTCTCATACGTTGGAACAAACCTAATATTTTCACCAAAAAACATGTTAAAAGGGTAAAAAAAATGATTAAAACAAACTTACTGATGTGAGCATCAAATTTAACAGGGCTTTCCAATTCGAGCAGCGCTAAATCGTTTTCGAAAGTGTCCGGATCGTATTTCCTGTGAACTATCACTCGTTTGACGTTTTTGCTTACGGGTTTCTTGCTTTCCAGGTCGCCGGAAATGTCAAACTCTCCGAACACGGCAATCAGAGAGGCGAATATGGCTGGCTGACAGTGAGCGGCTGTCATCACGTACTTGTCACTGATTAGAACGCCTAAAAATGACACAGATGAAGATATAACTTTAAAAATAAGCTTTCTATACTGTGTGTTTTTACTCTCCAGTAGGTATGATTTTTGAGCTTTGCGAAATGCGGGAAAGAATGAAAGCGACTTGATATTCAAAGGCAGACGATTGTACATTTTTTTGGCATTGTACAGTATTGAACCTTTAACTAGTTCTGAGCTCGGGGTTGGCAGATAAAGATCGTGCTCTGCATTCCTAAGTGGATAGTTATGAGATGAGAGAGCCTTTCGGGAATAGCAGATATGTGCTTGCGGATTAAACAAACGGATTCAAAAATGAATAAAGAAGGAAGAGTCAGTATTTTCAAATTTTTAAAGAAATTCTGGCGGTGAGTTCTACTGTTCAGTCCCAATAAATATCGAACTGCTCTCTTTTGAAGTCTGAAATTACGATCAAATTTTGTTGCGCAGCAAGTACCCCAGAATGTAAGGGCATAACGAAGATGTGACTCAAAAAGGGCATAATAAGCTATTCTAAAGGTTGAGAAGTTAAGTTCCTTAGAAAGTGATCTTAGCGCAAAACAGGCAGCGCTTAGTTTCTTTGATAGAGCTGCGATGTGAAAGTCCCATTTTAACGAGTTGTCTACAACAAGTCCTAAGAATTTCACAGAGTCCACGACGTCAATAGTGGTGTTATTAAGTACAAAAGGTTGTATAGTACTTTTATATGACAAAACTTTAGTTTTTGGTAGGTTGAGGCATAGGAGATTCGAATCGCACCAAGACTTAATGGTGCGTAAGTCACTGGATATAGTATCATATAGTGCCGCAACATCTGGGCCGCTCCAAGTAAAACTAGTATTGTCCGCAAAGAGGCAGATTTTACCGCTAATGTCTAGATTTGCGATGTCGTTGATAGCCATCTTGTCTGATAGTCAAGCAGCGTTAAAAGCGATCAACTCAGTATCAATCAATTCGAAATTGGTCAAAGAATGCATAGAGAAGCTGAATAAATTAGGCAAAGAAAACAAAGTCCTCCTACTCTGGGTGCCTGCTCACCAAGGGATAGAAGGCAATGAAAAAGCAAATAATCTAGCTAGGAAAGGAGCGAACACTCCACTAACTGGACCAGAACCGTTCTGCTTTCCAAGTGGTAACCAACTCAAGGCGGAACTCAAGAACTTGGAAGATTCCATCCGCAACCTGGAATGGAAATCTTGCAACGGTCTAAGACACTCGAAGAAGTTTCTGAGGGCTTATGATCAAGAAAAATCACAGATCTTCCTGGGTTTAAGTAAGAACAATCTTCGGATTGTCACGGGGTTTTAACAGGACACTGTCTCCTCAATGAACACCTCAGTAGATTGAAACTAAGAAGAAACGGCGAATGCAGATTCTGTGGGGAAGATGGGGAAACACCAGTACACCTCATCACTGAGTGTGCCGAGACGACAACCATTCGTGCCATGAATTTTGGTACGACTGATATTGGAGATGGAGAACTACCCTCTATAAAACCGTCCCAGATACTGGCTTTTGTCAAAGCCCTGGGACTGTATGATGAGTTATGACTCAAGAAAGGGGGACACAATGGATCTGTAAGGTCGCAGTGATTAACCCCCCTCCCACTCATTCTAAATTCTAAATTCTAAAATATACTTGAAAAACTAAAAATCATGTATTTCACAAAGGATTGGGCCAGCTGAACTGAATGAATCAGGAAGTCTTAAAGTTTCTCAAAATCGTGACTCAAAATCGTAGGCAGCTTATTCAAGATCAAATTACCGTTATCGATAATGGAAATAAAGCAGTAGAACCCTGTAAAATTGATCTTTGTGAAAATTTGATCAAGACAATTTCAATTTTTTTAAAAAACCGGAGGCAAAAGAGCTTTTTACGCACGAACGAAAAACACCCTTACTTATATATTAATAAACAAAATATGTTTCTTCGTTATGGGCCGGATTTGGGCCGGTTGCCTGTTATTCCCGGGCCGGTTTCCACTTCCCCATCCACCCCTGCAGAACGTCAACGGTTTTTGTAGACTTTTAAAAAACTAAAGAGTTCTAGAATAGTTGAATTTAAATATTTTAAATAGTTTTTTTCTTTATTCTTTGTATTTTCTTGATTCCGACGACGGAAAGAGATAAACTTCCCGAAGCGTTAAGCATTTTTTTTGTTCGTTAGGCAAATTTGTATATCTTTAAATCTAACTTCTGACAAGTAGTTTCCGTTTGGGATTAACGCAGGGATGGTTACACAAAATAACTATTTTATTTTGTAGATTTTCTTGCAGTGGCGAAACACCCATATAGGATTTTTTGGAGACACTAATCAACATGCCTGAATATATTCCTTAGAGAGCCACACTGTAAATTTAACCGAAAAAAAATAAAATAAAAAACTAAAAATTAATTAAAAAAGTGGTAGCTTACCTCCGCATTTGTTCTTGGTAAACAGTCCCAACCAAGTCGACTCTCTTACCAATACTTGCCATGGAAACTCTCCAAAAGTGGCTCCTTTTCCTCCGACTATCCTTCCAGACCTTATTAGAGGCCTAATGCCACAAACTATCAAGGGGAGAATATTAAGAAAAAAAAAACACACACACAAAGATCTCGAATACAGAACAAAGACGAAGTCAAAAATAGTTTTGGTGTGGATTTGAAGCGGCTGTGGATATTAGTCATTAGTTTGGTCATTTTGGATTTTTTTCACTTTATTTTGAAGAATATTATATAATAATATTATTTATAACATTAAGGTTGGTTAATAATATTTGTAAATTTCTTGAAGAATTGCCACTGTTAACAGAAAACTTTAAAATATTGATTTTTAAGACAAAAGAAGTTAGTTAGTTAGTCAGAGTTTTTGAAAAATGATTTAATAGAGCCATCGTCACAGAGATTGACTCAGGCTTCCAAAAAAGCTCTATGTTATTTTTTTGATTTGCGATTTTCATTTCATTTTTTTTACAAAATACGGGAGCAATGGTAACGCACATTATACAGGGTATTAAAAAATAATGTATCTATCTTGTGGTATCTAACGGTGGGTGATTCTACAAATAAAAATAAAATAATAAGTTCCTATAAATGTATGTCTTAAACTTAAAATGGTTCCCGATGAAGTTACAGCCCTTGATAAAAAATAAAAATATATATTTTCTTTATTTTTAAGAACATTGGTAAATTGTTTTTCCTGAAATTTGGTAAACTTACACGTCTTTTAATGCCAAAACGAATGGCGATCGTGTAAACTTCCGCAAAAGTCCTGAAAGGGTATGTTCCATTATTTGCATCCTTATTGTTCTATATGAAATTAGCGAGTTAATGAGAAAACTGTGTTTTTTTAAATATAAATCACGATCTGACTTTTAGGCGTTTCATCAATTTAATGGCAAATCTACTGAGTTAAAAGAATATATTAATTCCAGTTAAAAATATAAAACTTTTGTTTAAAAATATGTTTGAATCACCATGTATGTTGACAAAAATCTTTCCAAAATTTGTGTTACCATTGCCCCCATATTACGTATAAAAATTGAAATGAAAATCGCACACCAAAATATAGAGCTTTTTCGGTGTGTCTGTGTTACCCTGTATACTGTCTTTTTTCTGCAAAATTTACTAAAATTGTCACTCGCAATAAAGCAAGAAGAAATAGTAAAAGAAAAAATTTCATGGAACTTTTTACAGTTATATTTTTTGGAATTTCTTTTTATATTTATATTTTTGGATAATGAAAGTTTGATTTTTGGTGTTAATGCTTTTGTTAATAGAAAGTATGTTAGTGGCAAAGAAAGTATTATTGCTTTGGAGTTCTGATTACCTAGATTAATTGTCAGATGTTCTGCATAATTAAATAGTTAATTATTCAATATTGTGCAGGGTGAGTTAACGATAAAGTTCATTATCTCAATATTTTTAGGAATTACGATAAAATATTATATATTTTAGATACACAATATTACAAAAACTACTATTTTTAAGTAAATATAACATTACATGCAAAAAGTTAGGATATTTTTCGTTTTTCTTTTTAATTTTATAATAATATATTTTAACGGTTTTATAAAGGTGATGTCAAAATCACTTGTGACGTTTCGTTTTGCTATAAACATTATCAACTTTATATTTTCCTATCGTGTTTAATTTTTCCACTTTTCAATATCTACCTTTATTCAAAAAAGTGTATCTGTAGTGTTTATACTATACTAAGTTTTGATTTTTATAATCTGTAACCAGTGGATGACACGGATCACACTTTGACACTTCCTGAAGCCTTCTATCGTTTTAAAATAGACTATTCGAATTAAGATATGATAATGTTCTTTAAAAAATCAATAATTATCATTAACCACTTCATAAAACGTAGTTGTTATCTCTTTAAGTACTACCAATAGCGCCATGAAATTCCATTTTTTTATAAATCAAACAATTTAGTTTGATGTTCGCAATATTAAATTTTTTTCATTGACCTTCTTGCACAAACACCCGCCAATGGTATTCCGATATTTTTCATTAACACACAACACTCAGAAAACATAACTTTTTATTTCCAAACTGTTAACAGAGAAAACATCACATCCACAACCGCACATTAACTAAAGCTCAAATAAATACACGAAAAACTATTTCGACTTTCTACGATAGATGATTTTCTTGCGCAACGTACCATCTCTGTAGTTCACGTCAAAATCTGTCACTGTCTCTATCAGATTCTGCGTAGTCGTTTGCGACTTCTTCGTAGTTACCGGTCGCTTTGTCGTTGTCGTTTGCCTTTTAGTCGGCGCCGCACTGGTAGTAGTCCTTCTTGTAGTTGCAGGCCTCTTTGTAGTGGTTTTCAAGGTATTTGGCCTAACTACAGGCTTCTTAGTTGTCGTTACTGGCTTTTTAACAGGTCTCTTAGTAGTAACAGAGTTAGAAGACAGACTAGTAGTGTTTTTAACGTTGATTATCTCCTTCAAGTCACTAAAGGGACCTTGCAAACCATAAATAATCTGATTTACAAAGGACTCAACCTTCTCCTTCATAGCTTCATCTTCTATAAACCCTGGAGTCGTAATATCGAACTCGTTCAATCCAGGATGTGATATATTCGGGTTCCTGTCTGGTGGGAAATTGATAAGATCATTTGCTGAGGTCACAACAACACTATCGCCGTCCTCTGGTACAGCAGCTGGGGCGTAAGTAGAAGAAATCGAAGGTTTTGGAGTTATAATGACAGTAGGAGAAGGTGTATTAGGACTTGTACTGATACTGCTACTAATTAAAGGCCTTTCAGTACTATAAATATTCTGCGTAACATGATTGTTGATTGTTACATGATTCACTGGCTTTCTTTGAGGTAGATTACCAAACTGTGCAGGTTTGGGTGTAGTGCTTGTCGGAATAGAACTCGAAGAAGACTCCACAACATAACCATCCTCGTTTTCTTCAGGTTCAGAGTTCAAAACGATTACCGTAGGTGCTGGACTAGGATACGACGAATACTGACCCAGAGGTTGCGAGGTTACAGTGAATCCAGGCCCGGCAATGCTGGAACTTATTGTAGCAGGCCTAGTTGATCCAGATCCATAAACATAGCTTGGCGTTGATGAGGATCCTGGAAAAGCATCCTGAGAGTTGGCCCAGGTGGAATGAGCTAGTGTGGTAGGCCTGAATGTTGAGCTGTACACATAAGATGAGCTCTGCGGTTTTGATGCTTTGGTCGGTTTGAAAGTCGAGCTGTAAACGTACGAGGTACTGGGAGGTTTGGAACTAGTACTCGAAAGTTTGTTTATAATTGTGGTCTTGGAAGGTTTCTTCTTTTTGGTGCTGGTGGGATGAGTTCTTTTAGGTGGAATTGTTGAACTGAAGATGTAAGATGTTGACGGTGGTTTTCTTGATGTTGCTGGTGGTTGATTCGATGATGGTGAACTGGATGATACATATGAGCTAGAAGAATGAATTAGAAAATTTAATGAGACAGGTTAATTAGTATTTAAGATTGTCTTACAAGGTCATCAGAGGTTCTGCAGTGCTACTAGTGTGATTATTAGAGCTCTGAATCTTGACAAAATTGTCGTCGTCATTGAGTGTGCTTGGCTTGGCTGTATCGTGGGTTATCGTTGGAACCAAGACGTAGTTTTGATCAGTAGGTTTGGGCGGTTTAGGCCTGAAAGTTACAATAATTATAATAATAATGTCTATAATTCTTTAAAATTAAATATCTAGCGAACTATTTTAGTTCGGGTTTTGTGTGTTCTATACACACTAATATTTTTTTATAAATATTAATGAAGCTAATAAAATTTCCTTCTGGTCTCCTACTTTCTGTCATTTTATAGACACCACTTGAACGCTGTTCTGTCGAACCGTCTTTTTTTTTATTTAAATTATTTTAACGAATTAAGTCATTTGATTATAAGGGATTTAATTTATATTTAGAATTATTTGTATTTATATTTTTATTTCGAAATAGAAAAAGAATTAAGTCATTAAAAAAGGCTTTTTTAAAAAATACGACGAATAATTAACTTCAAACTGACGGCCTACACAATTTTGATATCAAAAGAAAAAAGTCAGTGTAGACATGTTTTTTTTCAAAAATATTCCAGTTATAACCCATTTATCGACACTTTTTTAGCGTTAAACTATGTAGCACTTATAATAACTTTTACCCTCAAAATTTCAATCGAATCACTCAAAGTAGTTGAAACAAATTAATCGAAAAATTATTAAAACTTCAACACCCTGTAGCTATGAAACAAAGCAGAATGAGACCTATGTTGATATGAAAAATAAATCTTATTTTTACGTGAGGAATCTCCCCACGAGAGATGACACATGTTTTTTTAAATACCCTGTATAGTCTAGTGTTCGTTACCTGAATATAGGTTTTTGGATAGTAGGAATAGGTGTGTACCCTACAGGAGCATTCGATACAGAAATCTGTAATATTGGTGGAGGATATGTGTCAGCGTATCTTGTCGTGGTTGGCTCTGAATACATAGTAGTTTTTTTGATATTGCTCATAGGTTTCTTTGTAGGACTGAAACGATATATAGATGTAATAAATGCTGTGCTACATTACTAACAGATCTTCCTTTACCTGAAAAAGATCGGTTTGATTTCGTTATCTTCATTATTTATGATTGTTTCAACTCCATGGGGATGAGTAACTCCTGTGGTCGACCAGTTGGGAGTTCCGCTGATTTCAACGACTGAGTTTTCATCGCCAGTGGGCAAGATATTTTGTCCGGCATTACCTAGGTAATTTAAAATTATAAATTCATTTAGAAGTAAAAAATAGTATACAGGGTATCCCATTCTCGTGTGTTTTATGGGGGTTAGATATACAAAAATGCGGTTTTCACATCACCGTACTACTTTTTATGAAACTGAAGACGCCACATACAGATTTCTTCTAGTCCCTTTGGTTTCTAAAATACAAGGCGAATTTGAAAATGTTGCATTTTACTAAAATGTGTTAATAAAAAGATGGTAGGCAGTTCTTTTAATTTCAAAGTAAAAGAATTTTTCCAATTTTTTTATCTCAAAAACTGCAACTTTGACTGATTTTGATGTTATTACAAATTTTGTTGCAAATTCTATTCCTAATCTTAAATTGAAAATCGCGTTTCGCTAGCTACTGTAATTTTGGAGTTACGATTTTTTTAATTATCCACATTCTACATAGTTCGGCGGAACATAGTTCTACATTTATAAATTCATAGACAAATTTCTACTCAAAAAATTAGGAATGTTAAATTTAATCTTTTATCAGTGCTCATTATTAATAATTATAGAAAAAACACACATTAATTATTTTTAGTACTTACCCTTTCAATGAAAACTTAACAAAAACCATCGAAAATTAACTAAAACATTACGTTTATGACGTTTACGAAAATCTTTGTTATGCTGCAAAATAACTTTATTTTGGAATAAATTTAATAAAATGATTCATCATATTATTCACAATCAGGTCACAAAAAAGAAATTCCTAAAATGTTTATCGTAATTTAGAAAACAGCCCAACGAATAATCGATTCATTTTTATTTTGTTTGTTTTCTTTCATGTTTCTCTGTTTTATTTGAACCACTGTTTTACAAAACACCTTGAAAAGCACACATTACTTTGAATACCTTTCTGAATGAATAAATGTTGAGAATTATTGTCTCTTACCGGCCACTTTCCGAACTACTTTCAATCTAAGAAAATACATGTTTCACTGAACAATTTTAAATACGTATTTTGTTTTTTCGCTATTTTTTCTATGTATTTCGACAATTCCATCGACAGCCTAACCGTCAGCCAAGAGTGCCGCGTGTGAACTGGCCCTTTGAGTCGCCCGCGTCGGTCGCCGCGCCGTCGTGGCGGGCTTGCGTCAGACGACGATGTCAAGCAACGTTGCCGTAGTTACAACAATTTCAAATTCAAGACATTCGAAGCAATCAAATTCGTATTAAATTTTAAAAATAAAACAGAGAAACATGAAAGGAAACAAACAAAATTAACATGAATTGATCATTCGTCAGCCTGTTTTCGATATATTGAATTCTGAATCACGATAAACATTTTAGAAATTTAATTTTTTTGACCTTATCAATAACCAATTCATTTGTGTTTTGTTTATTTCCTTTCTTGTTTTTCTGTTTTATTTTTAAAATTTAATAAGAATTTGATTGCTTCGAGTGTCTTGAATTAGAAATTGTTGAAACTACGGCAACCTCGCATGACGCAAGCTCGACACGGCGCGCGGCGGCGCGACACAGGAGTAGTTACCAGTGATGCGCCGCTCTCTTGGCCGAAGCAACGGTTGGGCTGTCGATGGAATTGTCGAAATACATAGCGAAAAAACAAAATACGTATTTAAAATTGTTGAGTAAAACATGTATTTTCTTAGATTGAAAGTAGTTCGGAAAGTGGCCGGTAAGAGACAATAATTCTCAACATTTATTCATTCAGAAAGGTATTCAAAGTAATGTGTGCTTTTCAAGGTGTTTTGTAAATCAGTGGTTCAAATTGTGATGAGGCCTATATGAAAATAATGTGTTAAAAATGGGAACTGTTATTTTAGCAGTTATTATAATAGCATGTACAAGTAAAGCAGCACAGTGAAGTGTATTTTAGTTAAGTGTATATCGAAAAAGAGAATTGTCACAGTTACATCGATCTGTCATAAGTATCTTTTTTAATGTTGGGTAAGTTTTTTAATTTAACTTTTTTTAACTTTTAAACATTTAACTTTTAATTTATTTTATGTAATAATATCACAATCTTAAAAATGTAATGCATCTCTGCAAACTCCTCAGGTGTTGTGATTTTATGACTTACTTTTAACATATACTTTCTTGTCCATATAGCAACACAGTGCGCCGAATTAACTGAAATCCGGGCAGTGCCTTCTATTAAAAGATCAGCCTACGGGCGGACTTTTGTTTACTTCATCAGCTGTACATACTTAGATATGGGGTTAGATTCTGTATTCATATTTTGTCGGTTGATTTTTAGTATTATTTGTTATTGTAGTGCAAAAAACTAATTATTTTCGTGTTTAAGTGACATAAAGTACTACCAGATATATGGTCGCTATGATGGTCACTCTGTTTCTCATAAAAAAACACGAAATATTACACGTTTTGTTAAGTGCTTTAACCTAAAAGTGCCCATAAATTTTTTATTTATCGTGATTTTTGTGTGTGTTTTTTAAGACTCTAACAATTCATCAATAAAGCTTAAGTGGAGTGTGTTTTTGGTGCTTTGGCTCATCTTTGTTGTGTTCCTGGTGGAAAGGATAGTTATACTAGGCAGCTTAAAATATCCGGAAGAGCAAGAAAAGTGGGTACGAGTTATAAATCAAGACAATTCTATTGAAAATATCTTTAATAAATTTAAAAATAATATTCTCCCAGGATGGTATTAAAGAAAACTGGACAATTATGTTTATTTTATTCATATTGTGGAATCTCCACTCCAAGTGTTGTTGGTTCAGCTTCGATAGATTCAAACACGTAAGATAAACACGTAAGTAGGTATTATGATCTAGGGAAAAATAAAGAATATGTGTACTAAAGATCATGAAAAAGATTATTATTTTGAGTTCAAAATTAAAAAAGATTTTTGTAAAGACAAGAATGATAAAGTTTAAAAGAAGAATGTGTTTTTGTTTGATAATATAATGTATGTAAAGCATAACATATATTTGTTCAGTAATTTTTATTGAATAGTGTTGATTATTTATAATACCAAATTAATATAAAATATTTAAGTGATGGCTGAATACAATATGAATAAAATAACAATAAAATTGGTATATTTGCAATACAAAATTAAGTTTTAAGAATAAAGGTGTTACTAAAAATATACTAAGAAATTCATATCTCTTTGTTTTAATTGGTCTAATGTTATTTACATTTTACGTAAGAATTATACCGTATCATCGAAAAAAATCGGCGTCTAGTTGGCTTGGAAATGAACATCGATGACATTCCCTAAATAACTGTACACATAAAATAATTAACTAGAATTTTACAATCTTGGAAAATTTGATATTCTTGAACCTTGATTCTAAATATTCTAAATTTTTTGATTTTCTTGGAATTTAGGTTCGGGAAAAAACGCTGATTGATTTTCATTTGGTTTTTCGTTATTTTATTTGGTTTAAAAAAAACGGTTCGGCTAACATTATAGCCTCCATCAGTGTTGTGTCATATGAAAAAAATAGTGTCGAATATAATCCAAAAAATTGCATATAAAATATTCACACCAAGCACATAATGTTTACTGCGTACTCCATAGTCAATGTAGATAATTTTAGTGTTAAGAATAATAATTTTAAAAAATATGTGGTCATCTTTTGATAAGTTTATATTAGTTTATTAATTGCAGTAAACATTATGAGGTGTGAATTATATTGTATATGTAATTTTTGGATTATATTCGACACTATTTTTCATATGACACAACACTGTGAAGGCTATAGTTAGCCGAAACGTTTTTAAACCAAATAAAAATAATGAAAACAAATGAAAACTTAATCAACGTTTTTCCCGAACCTAAAATCCCAAGAAAATCAAAAAATTTTAGAATAATTTAACATATAAAATGCCAGCGATCTTCATTTCATAACCATCGCTGACGCCTTTTTAGATAATATTGTATTATTTGTAAATATAATTTTTCGAACATTGATACTTGCAAAATATACATAAAAATTTTGTGAATGCAAATAATAATACATCACTATTAGTAGATATTAAATGTTTTTTGTTAAATTAGATCGATTTTCAAACCCCAAAATTTAAAATATATTTACATTTTACCCATTATCTTATGTACCTATACATTATTTGTACATTGTAAAACATTTGCTGCATTTGTATGGTTCATAGTTTATTTGCCAAAGTATTTATTACTATAAATAGGTATATATGTTGTAGTTATTAACTGTATATTATGTATATTTTATTTAGTTCATTATATCATATTTCAAGATATATCATTTTTAAAATACAAACCAAAAATCTGAGGAATAATTATGTTTTCCATGTATTCTACAACATATTTATTAATCCGTTATATCTAAGTAGCGTGACGTCATAAATCTCGCCCGTAGGCTGATCTTTTAATAGAAGGCACTGATCCGGGCTTGATACTGGTAATTGGATGTAGTTGGCGATATCTGCCGGCAGTTCTCAAAATGTTGTGATTATTTTTTTAAATTTTCAAAGTTAAATAACTCGGTTATTTTCAATTTATTTTAAAAATGGTAAAGAGAAAATATGTTTATTTTGATCAGATCTACCACCCCTTAAAATATCTGCACTCATTTCTGGGACACCCTGTATAGGACCCTACTTTGCTTTTAGTCCCATCTACTAACCGTAGAAGAAGGAACCTTGTAATTTAGTAGTGATTAATTCTCTACAGAACGTCCTATTTATAAATGTTAAAAACTTTTACCTGAAAATGGTGGACTGTTGCCTGTTAGCAACGAGGCAGCAATTTGCGAGACGCTGTTTGAAGGTATGTCAGCAAACACAGGAGTGGTTCTATGTGTGGTAGCTGATACTTTCGTTGATAACGAATTGTCAACTGATGTGACGATTGGTAAGGATTGGTCGAGATATTCCCCAACCATTGTGTCTAAAAGAGAATTATTTAGTTTTAGTAAAATATTTTTGGAAGTCATGAGGTTACTATACAGTGTCCCAGACAAAATCCGCATCATAAAACTGTCTTTTTATATACAGGGTGGTCCGAACTGTATTCCGGAAACTTCGAAAGCTTATTTTGCAGATAAAAATAAGTAAAAAAGTTCGTATAAACGTATGTCCTAAAATGCTTAGTTTCGGAGATACAGGGCGTAGAAGTTTGATTTTAATTTTAATTTTTTTCAAATAATTTCTGAAGCAACATCAATAATTGGATGAAAATTGGTATCTGGGAGTTTTTTAACATGATAAATTTGGGGAACTTTTTATTTTTTTTTAAATTAATTTAACATTAATAAAACAGTTTCTGTTAAATTTTTGGTACAAAAACATTTCAAATTTATGATTTTTTTTTGAATAATTATTTAGTCAACATGTTTAATGTATGTCAATGATGACAGGTATTGATAATTTAGATTCCAAATATCTCGAGAACCATAATTTGTTGCGATTTTTACCAAGAGACCTTCTTTAGGTAAAAAATGTTGTAAATGTACATTTTTGAATCGGTAGTTTTATACAGGTACGACTGAAAAGTTATTAGTCTTCCAACCAGTTAAAAGATATGTAGGTGGCGCCGTCTACAAGTAAGAGTCATATTGACATCAAAATCAAATTTCTCATGTCAAAATACCTCCAGGTACCAATTTTCATCCAATTATTGACGTTACTTCAGAAATTATTAAAAAAAAATAAAATAAAAATGAAACTTCTACACCCTGTATCTCCAAAACTAAGCATTTTAGTACATACATTTATACAAAATTTTTTACTTATTCTTATCTGCAGAATATGCTGCCGAAGTTTCCGGAATACAATTCGGACCACCCTGTATACAGGGTGTCCCAGAAATAAGTGCAAATATTTTAACTGGTAGTATAGTTCAACTCCAGAAACACGAATATGAGGTTTTTTTAGCGAAAACAAAAATTTGAAAATTCGAAATTTTTTGAAAAATTTTTTGGATTTTTTTTTAGTTTTTAGATAAAAACCATAATTTATTGATAATATGGCAACATAGGTAATAGATTAAATTTACAAGAAAGAAAATCCAGAAAAGATCCAGTGGTTCTCAAAATTTTAGCAAAAAATCATTTTTTTTGGAAATTTTCAAAGTAAAATAACTCCGTTATTTTGGACTTATTTGAAAAACGATAAAGAGAAAATATGTTTCTTTTATCGAGATCTACCACCCCTTAAAATATTTGCACTTATTTCTGGGACACCCTGTATAGACTTGGTATACCGGGTGCGTCTCAAAAGTGGCTCACCCCTAAACTTTTTTATTTTTTCAGATAAAAAAACGAGATTTGGTATGTTAGTATATGACATAAATTAGGATTGATTGGTGTATTCAATTGTTTTTGGTCACTTCCTGTTTCACCGGAAATGACTACAACTTTTGATTTTTTAATGGCACCCTCGCTATTTTTTTACTTTATTTGATAGAAAATGCCCTTCTGAATAGAATGACATATCATATGTCAACTTTTGACATTCTCGCTTCATCAAAAATTGTATTTTAAAATTCAATCCAGAATTCCATGACTATGTTAAAGACACTAATTCTTCATCAAGGAGTCTTGGAAAAATAGATTTGATCGTCTAATATTTTTATTGTCTTGTCCTGGCCAGCTAGAAAATGTTCAAATCGTATTTTTAATCATATCTCAATTTTTTCAAATGGAACGAGGGTGGCTCATTAGTATATTTGGAAAAAGCATTTTTTTGCGAATAATTTGGTACCACACACTTGGTATTTCGATTCAAATTTTCGTTACGAACGGCAAGTTATAATTTCAAATAAACCATATGCGAAAATGTCAAAAGTTGAAATATGATATGTCATTCTATTCAGAGTGACATTTTCTATCGAATAAAGTAAAAAAATACCGGGGGTGTCATTTAAAAATCAAAACTTGTAGTCATTTCCGGTGAAACCGGAAGTGACCGAAAACAATTGAATACGTCAATCAATCCTAATATATGTCATATACTAACATACCAAATCTCGTTTTTTTAACTAAAAAAATTAAAAAGTTATAGGGGTGAGCCACTTTTGAAACTCACCCGGTATAGGTGAAATTTGACTTTTCTGCTTTGATTTATATTAAAAGTGGCAAGAAAGTTTATCTTTGTAGTATCCATTGCTAGGTCACTTATATGGTGAAATGTTGACAAAATAATTTAGTATTTATTGATTTTTGCAAAAATAATCTTATGGACGTAATTCTGGAGACGAATTATACTACCAGTTGATATATTTATGCGACACTTGGAAGCAAAAATTACCGTACTTTTATAACATACCTTTGGGCAATTGACAGCATGCTCCGAATAAGAATCCATCCATGCAGGCGCCGACTACCTGTCCTTTTCTAGTGACGCATTCATCGTGGAACATGCAGATGTTCTGTGCATCAGATGGCGTCGTAGATGCTTTTGTGGCTTTACAGTGTTTTGGTGTGATTCTGTAACCTCCAAACAGTTTCCTTTCTTCTGCAAGTAAAATAAACATTTGGAAAAAATGGCTTTGAAAACAACAATAATATTAAAGGAAAGACAGATTTTAGATTTGCATGGTATTTATTAAATTTTGAAGCATCACGTTTCGAATGTTGAATCTGTGAACGTGATCAAGCTAAGGCTAACATTGTATACCTAAGGTACATTATAAAATCTATACTAATATATAAAATCCTTAAGTGACTGACATATTGATTAATCACGATCCTGCTCAAATCACTCAACGTAAGAAGCTCAATTTTGGCATACAGGTTGATTCTAGGGTGTAGAGGTTCGATAAGAAGGGATTTTTCGAAATTCCAGTTCCAAGAGGGTGAAACCACCCCTCAAATAGTACCATATTTTTTATTTAAAAAACGGTCAAGTTTCCGAAAAAACGCTTAAACACGTGTATTTCATTTTGTTTTTTTACATTTTTTAAGATTTTTTAAAAATGTATACAGGGTGTTTCGAAAAATCTGCTCATTGATTAATCACGATCCTGCTTAAAGCGCTTGACGTAAAAAGCTGATTTTTGGAAAACAGATTGGCTTTAGGGTGTAGAGGTTCGATAAGAAGGGATTTTTCGAAACTCGAATTCTAAGGGGGTGAAACTATCCCTCAAATATTAAAATATTTTTTATTTAAAAACCGGCGAGTTTTTCGGAAAAACTCTTAAACACGTATATTTTATTTTGTTGTTTTACACATTTGAAGATTTTTTATAAAATTATACAGGGTGTTTCATAAAATATGACTATTGAGTAGTCACGATTCTGCTTAAACTGCTTGACGTTTAAAACTGATTTTTGGTAAACGGATTGACTGGGGGGTGTAGAGGTTCGATAAGAAGGGGTTTCTCAAATCTCAAATTCCAAGAGGGTGTAAACGCCCCTCAAATATTACAATATTTGTTATTTAAAAAACGGTTAGTCTTTCGGGAAAACGCTTGGACAAGCATCATTTATTTGTTTTTTTACTTATTTTGAAATTGTGTTCCATAAAGTTGGGCAATTTCTTAATCACGATTCTGCTTAAACTGCTTGACGTAAAAAGCTTATTTATGGCAAACGGATTTTTCGAAAGTCAAATTCCAACGAGATGAAACTACCCCTCAAATATTACCAAGTTATATAATAATACCGCCATATTGTTTTTTTTTCATGCTGACATAAATGTGAGAAAATTTTATCCAGTTTGTATGTTAATGGAAATTCTTGCTTTGCTTTATCATCACCATTACAAATGATTTATTCCACGCGAACGAAGTCGCTGGTACACGATAGTACTAAGATAAAGTAAGAGTTACACATTAGTAAGTCACTTAAGTATTCTTTGTGCAAAATAATTCTAGACCAGATAATAGCAACTGTAGTCTTTTGACTGCTGCAATAAATTCCTGGTCCAGAAGTCGTCAGTTTTCTCAAGACACCAAATATAAACACTTTGCGAAATAAAACACTAATTCACCACAGTACACTAAAACACGTTACTTTTGCACTGGACGCATGTTTCACTAGCCAAGATTAAAACTGAGAGTGAAAAAACTGAAAACTTACTGAGCTTTAGTCATCTATTGATGATGCTAACATATGGTTAACGACACGCGCATCCAAGCAAACTAAAGTGTTTTGGTGTATTGTGGTGAATTAGTGTTTTATTTTGCTGTTGTAACACCAAAGGTTCCAACAACCACTTAACAAATCCAATTGTACCATCCTTTGGGAGAGAGTCTCAGTGATATCAAAACGACAATTTTCCTAATTGGCCCGTATTATTATATTAAGGAGGTGAATTTTGTTGGTGGTAAATAATAACTGTTTATATATTTATAATTAACTAGCGTGTACCAGCGACTTCGTTCGCGTCGAATTAATCATTTGTAATGGTGATGATAAAGCAAAGCAATCATTTCCATTAACATACAAACTGGATAAAATTTTCTCACATTTATATGGCGATATTATTATATAACTTGGTAATATTTGAGGGGTAGTTTCATCTCGTTGGAATTTGACTTTCCAAAAATCTGTTTGCCAAAAATAAGCTTTTTACGTCAAGCAGTTTAAGCAGAATTTAAGAAATTACCCAACTTTTTGGAACACCCTGTATGATTTTTAAAAAATTTCAAAATATGTAAAAAAAACAAATTAATTATGCTTGTCCAAGCGTTTTCCCGAAAGACTGACCGTTTTTTAAATAACAAATATTGTAATATTTGAGGGGCGTTTTCACCCTCTTGTAATTTGAGATTCGAAAAACCCCTCCTTATCGAACCTCTACACCCCACAGTCAATCCGTTTGCCAAAAATCAGCTTTAAACGTCAAGTACCGTATGATCGAATAAAAACGGCGTCAGCGATGGCTATGAAATGAAGATCGCTGTCATTTTATATGTAAAATTATATGGGAAATGTCATCGATCGTCATTTCCAAGCCAACTGGACGCCATTTTTTTTCGATCATACGGTAGTTTAAGCAGAATCGTGATTACTCAATGGTCATATTTTATAAAACACCCTGTATACATTTATAAAAAATCTTAAAATAAAAAAAATGATAGTTTCACCCCCTTAGATTTCGAGTTTCGAAAAATCCCTTCTTATCGAACTTATCGCGCTTTAAGCAGGATCGTGATTAATCAATGACCAGATTCTTCGAAACACCCGGTATACATTTTTAAAAAATCTTAAAATATGTAGAAAAACAAAATAAAATATACGTGTTTAAGCGTTTTTTCGGAAACTTGACCGTTTTTTAAATAAAAAATATTGTAATATTTGAGGGGTGGTTTCACCCTCTTGAAACTGGGATTTCGGAAAATCCCTTCTTATCGAACCTCAACACCCTAGAATCAACCTGTATGCCAAAATTGAGCTTCTTACGTTTAGTGGTTTGGGCAGGATCGTGATTAATCAGTATGTCAGTCACTTAAGGATTTTATATATTAGTATAGATTATTTGGGGAATGTCAACGATCGTCATTTCCAAGCCAACTGAACGCTGTTTTTTTTTTTCGATCATACGGTATCTTTGTAATATTTTCTGACATAATATTATATTATATATCCCCATTTTTGTTTGACATTTATATTTTAGTCAAACAACTATTTTACCAGTGGAATGTAAATATCAGAAATATAGAAATAATATTTGTGTTTCAACATTGTTCCAGGGAGATTTATTTTTTTTTGATCTCTTAATAATAAAGTAAAAATTGGAAATGTTTGCTTTTAATTAATTTTATATTTTCACAATTTCATCCTGTTATACGTATTTTATATCAAAGAATATTCTAGTACTTTGATTTTACACACGAGCTGCGTTTCATTTTATTTTTACTGCAACCTAAAAATATAATAAAAACTTGCGTAGGTACCTTATGTATACTCAAATTCATATATTTTTAATGTAACTTATATATTTATTAATAAAATAGGTAGATATATGTACATTAGGGTGTCCGTTATTTACAAAGTTGATAATTTCTCTCACGACGGCCTCTAAATTTTTAGTTTATTGTCTAAAAAAATATAACAGACCATTGTAAACCCTTAATATTCACAATAAACCTTGCCCCAAAGACGTTTCATTTCCCATTTTTTGCAAATATTTTTTTTTCTCTCGATTTTTTTTTCTTGCAGCCATGACAATAACATATTCTTATACAGAATTGAACTCTCTCCAAAAAAGGTCTCTTACAATTTTTCGATAAACCTACTCCTTCAAAAGTTATTCACGGTTAAAGTTAACAACTCGGAAAATTCCTAAATTCTTCAACTTTTTTGACAAATTTAATCTATTACTGTAAAAATATACAATTCTGGTGGTGTGTTAAGGTTGGGAATTAAGAAATCTTCAAGTCTAATGAAGTTTAAACCATTTAAGTATAGCTGATTTCTTTTAATAAACATTTTAAACAATTTCACTTAGTTAGCCTTTGCTCTCAGAAATGTGAAACTGTCACATCCAAACTTTGTAGATTAAAATAAGCAAAAATTGTAAATATGGATTTTTCAAATGAAGAAAAGCGTGTAGGATTATTGGTTCAACTTTTCTTGACCATACGTTTTCGAGGATACGTTGACCGGTGAATGTTTCGTTTTCTTGAGAACGGTTTTCAAGACATGTTAGGAAAGTTAAATTTAGTTATAGCCAATTCTTATCTAAACCTAATTTAAAACCTAATTTATTACAAATACTTAATTTTTTTGCTAAATTGTAAAGAAAACTTTAAACTTTTTGTCAGGAGCCGTCTTGGAAAACTCTTTAAACAAAGAACGGGGCATTTTCCGGGCTTCGGCTGTTACAGCAAGTCATTTTTCTCCGTCCCAAGTTTTATTTTTACACTTTTTTCGGCTTTTTTCTTATTTTCCTTCCGGGAAAGTCGAAACTTTAGCCTCCAAGTTTCAGTTTTCCACATTATTAAAAAGAAACTGGATGATTTAGTGTTATATATGTTCGGAGCCGTTCAAAAACTAAGTTTTTTTTCTAGTTCTTGGCGTTAAAATGTTTTTAGACAGTGTGTTTTAAAAGCATGTACCATCTCTTGTGGGAGATTCATCTCGTAAAAATAAGATTCATTTTTCATATTAACATAGGTCGAATTTTGCTTTTCATAGCTATAGGGGGTTAAAGTCTTTTTTTTTCGATTTATTATAATTTTCTTCCAAGTGCTTTTAGCTATTCGAATTAAATTTTGAGGGTAAAAGTTACTATGAGTGCGACATATTTTATACACATATTCATCAGAGACGTGCATATGAGTTATCACTGGAATATTTTTCTAAGAAATATGTGCACCACTGACTTTTTTACTCTTGTTAGCAAAATTGTGTAGACCCAGATCTCCCTGAGACTGTAAGATAAGTTATAACTCAAGATAGGGAACATAAGAAACACGGTTCTCGACAGTATTTTTTTAACTGTCAGTATGTGTAGACGGGACTTAAGTTTCTGATGGTACTACCTTGCGACGCATTCCTTCGCGTCCG